CAGCCTGCGGACCTCTGGGTCCCGGTTCGATTCCCGGCAAGGGCAGGTACCTAGGTTGCAGGTTCCTCCCTGGCCTGTCCCAGGTCAGGACTTATGCAGGAAGCAACCAATCCATGTGTCCCTCACACATTGATGTTTCTCTCTGTTTTTCCCTCTCTCTTCCACGCTTTCTAAAAATCAATGGAAAAATATCCTCAGATGAGGATAAAAAAGAAAGCAATGTCATATCCTATGAAAGAGACATCTTGAAAATGCCTCAAGAAAGTTGTCATTTTTTAAAAATTGATTTTGTAGAGAGGAAGGGAGATGGAGGGAAACATCAATGATAAGAGAGAATCAACAATCGGCTGCCTCACTCACTCCCCCTACTGGGGATGAAGCCCACAACCCCGGCAAGTGCCCTTGACCAGAATCTACCCTTGGGTCTGCAGGACTATGCTCTATCCACCAAGCAAAACTGGCCAGGGCAGTTGTCATTTTTTTCGTGGTGAAGGGACTGGAGTCTGTGTTAATGAAAACACATTATCTATGAGCCCAATACAGCCACTCACAATAAAAGAGGTATGCCTGCATTGCAGTCTGGAATAATTTATCACAGAAATAACCTACTTACATCATCAAATATGTATGTGACAAATACAACAAAAGAATGTAGGACCAGCCTTTCAACTGAGATGTATAATATAAACTTTAATTGAAATTCTATAATTTAGTTATAATTTGAACTTCAATTACAATAAATAAATTTTGGCTCTGGCTGGTGTAGCTCAGTTGGCATTTTCTCATTTCATTGATGCTGGAATAGCAAAAGATATCTCTCTCAGTCAACTATAAAATATTGTAAAATACAAAGAGCAAAATAATAAGTGAAAAATCTCAAAGCTGCCCTAATAGGTTTGGCTCAGTGGATGGAGCCTCAGCCTGCAGACTGAAGGGTCCCAGGTTTGATTCCGGCACACGGCACATGCCTGGGTTGCGGGCTTGATCCCCAGTAGGGGGTGTGCAGGAGGCACCCAATCGGTCATTCTCTCTCATCATTGATATTTCTATCTCTCTCTCCTCCCTTCCTCTCTGAAATCAATAAAGAAATGTATTATCTTTTTAAAAAGTGTGGGGACACACATCTGTGCCAAGAGGAAGAGAGAGGAACTGAGCAATGTCCTTGCAGCCATGAAGAAGGCAGCAGCTAAGAAGGACTGAGCTCCACCCACTGTGTGTATAAAAGCTGTTCAGAAAAAGAAATCATAGGCTGAGGATTACAAAAAACAGCAAGTGTTCATTACTTTGGGCACAGCATGAAAAATTGAAAAAATATTAGTACTATCCCAATATAGAAAAAATTTATTGCATAAAGAAAAAAAAAAGGCCACATGATCTCACTCACTTATGGATAATAAAGACCATTATAAACTTATGAACAAAAATAGATACAGAGGCAGAGCAGCTTCGAACAGACTGTCAAACTACAATGGGAAGGCGGGGAGGGTGGGAGGGCAGGAGGGGAGGGTAAGAGATCAACCGAAGGACTTGTATGCATGCATATAAGCATAACCAATGGACATTAGACTCTGTGGGGGTAGGGGAGGCCAGGGGATTGTCAAGGGCAGGAAAAAAAGGAGACATATGTAATACTCTTTGTAATACTTTAAGCAATAAAACAATTTTAAAAAAAAGAAAAAGAAAAAAAAAGGCACGAAATGAGTGAAATTCCAACATACATTTTTGTTGTTTCCCTGTCCCTTTGATTTAAAAAATGCCAGCATCCATTGATTAGGCAGAAATGTGACCAGACTTTTTACCAAAGAGACAGTGATAACAAATACACATATAAACATCCATCATTGAGGTTACAGATGAACAGCCAAATAGAGATACACTGTGCGAGGTCTGGGAGAGGCCCAAGTACAGGAGCATCTGTCCCCATGAAGTTAGGGTGCACCACTCTCCCCATACTCAGATGTATTCACCCACCTGGGAGATCTCTGAATAGCCTCCTATTGGAAGGTTTATGGATCCTTCCTCAATAGGTGTTATTGATCATGAACTATTTCTAAACCCTATTACCTGTTATCACTTGGAAATTTACAAGAGTTCCAGATGCTTTGTACCAAGAACCAGGGGCAGAGATCAGTATGTATTGTCTATATCTCACATGGTCAAATATCCTATCTCAAAAGGATACATGCTAAATGACTCAATTTTTCTAATATTCAAGAAATGACAAAAAGTATAGGTACAAAGAGAACTGTGACACCAAAAACTAGGGTTAGAGCAAGGATGTGACTATGAAAAGGAAGCCGGGCCTGTGTGGCACAGTGGTTGAGCATCAACCCGGGTCACAATTCAATTTCCAGTCAGGGCATATGCCTGTGTTTCAGGCTCGAACCTCAGTAGGGAGTGTAGGAGGCAGCCTATCAATGATTCTCTTTCCTCACTGATGTTTCTATCTCCCTCTTCCTCACTCGGAAATCAATAAAAACATATTTAAAAGAAAAGGTAGCCCTAACTGGTTTGGCCCAGTGAAGATAGCGTCGACCTGCGGACTGAAAGGTCCCAGGTTCAATTTTGGTCAAGGGCATGTACCTTGGTTGCGGGCCCATCACCAGTATGAGATGTGCAGGAGGCAGCTGATCGATGTTTCTAACTCTCTATCCCTCTCCATTCCTCTGTAAAAAATCAATAAAATATATTTTTAAAAAGAAAGGAAAAAAGAAAAAGGTAGTCTGAGGGAGTTTGTGATAGCAACATTTTCTGAATTTTGCTGTGGTTACAAGAATCTATGTGTGATAAAAACCAAATAAAAATGAGTGATAAAACTGGAGATACAAATCAATCCTATAGTCAAGAGCACTGTAACAATTTCACTTTACTTGAGAATGAACTGTGACTATGTAAGGTTTTACTTTTGAGAGTAGATAGTTACATGTGGGTCTTTTTGGGTTTTTTATTGATTTCAGAGAGGAAGGGAGAGGGGGAGAGAGATAGAAACATCAATGATAAGAAACTCATTGATTGGCTGCCTCCTGCAAGCCCCTACTGGGGATCAAGCCTGCAACCCAGGCATGTGCCCTGAGAATCGAACCCAGGACCTCTTGGTCCATGGGACAATGCTCAATCCACTGAGCCACCACAGCCAGGCCAAGAGTAGATAGTTATATGACAGGAATGCAGGAAATCTCAAAAAAATTTCAGTTTTTGTGATTCTAAATTTATTTCAAAATTTAAAGTTATAAAAAATGACATATTAATTTTATAAACCACTTTATGTTACTTATAAACTTGGTCAAACACAATATGTTGTTATCCTTATAAATGAATATATTCATTTCGTTTTCAGTTATTCTGAAATAACCCAAACATAGGACTAAAGAAGTGCAAAATTTAATTACATAATGAAACAGACACAGAACACACCGGTGTTGTATTTATAAAAATTTTATTCATGATGAGAGTAATTGTTACTGTTTAAAACTTATATAATCAAAGGCAAAGTGAGTAGAAATATTGCTGATGGTATCCTGTCCACAATGGCTTCTGAAGTATATTTTCTGTTCAGACTTGTGACAGAATGCTTTTTCATTCAAGGCTTCTCTTCTTCATTTGCGAAAGACCACCAAATTGAATGTGTTCATGAGTTATTTCTGCAAGGATTTGTGGCAATAAGGCAACATGTATTATGCAATCCATGCCACGTTCCTGCCAGAGAAAAGTATTTCTCTAGTGTAAACTGACATCTATTGAGGTCTTACTTTGGGGCAGATGCTTTCAAACAATTAGAAATATTCATACATTCATCATGATAGGGACTACTTCCCAGTAAGAATTTCCTACTGTCACATTCATAGGATTTATGTCAAGATAACCTTTATAGACATATAATGTCCTAAAATATTTTCATCAAGGCTGATTGTATCACTTGTATTTTTTTTGATCAATAAATTTTATTTTATTTTTTATTTATTTATTTTTTTATTAGTTAAGGTATTACAAATGTGCCCTCATCCCCCCCATTAACCCCCAACCTCCCCCCCCCCCACGCCCCGCACACTCATGCTCCCATACCCCCGTTGTCCATGTCCATTGGTTTGGCTTATATACATGTATACAAGTCCTTCGGTTGATCTCTTCCCCTTACCCCCGCCCTCCCCTACTTTCCTTCTGGGGATTGATAGCCTGATCGCTGTTTCTCAGTCTTTGGATCTGTCCCTTTTCATCAGTCTAAAAAATATGGAACGCTTCACGAATTTGCGCAGGGGCCATGCTAATCTTCTCTGTATCGTTCCAATTTTAGTATATGTGCTGCCGAAGCGAGCACTGTATCACTTGTTTTATAAAATTTTTTTCATATAAAATACGAGGTAATTGACCTTGAAAGACAGTACCACCTTCTTTGCAGTAACATATTCTTTTTTCCCTCTCTTTTTGCATCAACTTATTCTTCATTGCATACTATCATCTTGAGGGCCTACAACTGGCAACAGGCTTACCCCAAAGCAACTACCTATGAAATCTCTTCTGTTTAACAACTGACAAGTGGTCAAAAGCTGTCCCACAATTGCTACACTCTTAGGGCCTCCCGACTGTATGTTTTCTTTCATGAACATAGAATCCTGAGTTTGTAGTGAAAGTTTTAACGCATTCATTACATTCATAGGCTTTCTCTCCCATGTGAATTCTCTGATGGATGAGATCATTGTTGCTAAAAGAGAATTTTGTACATTTAGTACATGCAAAGGAAGTGTTTCCTGAGTGAAATCTCTGATGTTTTACAAGGCATGTCTTTCTTCTAAAGCAGTGGTTCTCAACCTTCCTAATGCCGTGACCCTTTAATACAGTTCCTCATGTTGTGGTGACCCCCAACCATAAAATTAATTTCGTTGCTACTTCATCACTGTAATTTTGCTACTGTTATGAGTCGTCATGTAAATATCTGATATGCAGGATGTATTTTCATTGTTACAAATTGAACATAAGTAAAGCATAGTGATTAATCACAAAAACAATATGTAATTATATATGTGTTTTCCAATGGTCTTAGGCGACTCCTGGGAAAGGGTCATTCGACCCCCAAAGGGGTCGTGAACCACAGGTTGGCAACCCACAGGTTGAGAACCGCTGTCCTAAAGCCTTCGCCACAATTATTACGTGTGTGGAGGGCTGCTCTGTAGCATGAGTTTTGCTCACGTACACATAGAATCTATATATAGAAAAGCCTAAGTAACTGAACGACCGGTTGCTATGATGTGCACTGACCACCAGAGGGTAGATGCTCAACTCAGGACTGCGCCCTGGTGGTCAGTGAGCTCCCACAGCCAACATCCCGCAGCCCTGATCGGCCCTGATCACCAACCATGCTGAGGGACCCCACCTGAGCACAAATTCCTGCACCAGGCCTCTAGTACTTTTCATAATGAAGCCTTTCATACATTCATTGCACATAATTTCTCTTAAGTATGAGTTTGCTGATGTAAAGTGAGGTCAGTCTTCATGGTGAACCCTTTTCCACACAAATTACATACACAGGGATACTCTCCTGTATGTTTCAGCTGATGTCTAATGAGATTTTGCTTCGCTGTGAAACCTTTCCAGCATACACTACATACATAAGGTTTCTCTCCTGTATGAGTTCGTTGATGTACAATCAATTGCATTTTCACTGGGAAGCCTTTTCCACATTCACTGCATACATAGGGTTTCTCTCCCGTGTGCATTCGCTGATGTACAATCAGACGACTCTTCACAATAAAGCCCTTTCCACATTCATTGCACGTATATGGTTTTTCTGAAGTATGACTTCGCTGATGTACAGTGAGATCATGCTTCACGGTGAAGCCTTTTTCACACACAACACATACATAGGGTTTCTCTCCAGAATGCGTTCGCTGATGTCCAATTAGACAATGCTTCAATGAGAAGCCTTTCCCACATTCACTGCATAAAAAAGGCTTTTCTCCTGTGTGAGTTCTCTGATGTGTAGAGAGATTAAACTTTGTAGAGAAGGTTTTTCCACACAGACTGCAACCATAGGGCTTCTCTCCTGTGTGAGTTCGTTGATGATAAATGAGCCGAGACTTTTGGATGAACGCTTTTCCACATTCACTACACGTATAAGGTTTCTCTTTCATGTGCATTTTCTGATGTCTATTGAACTGGGATGTCTTGAGGAAGGTTTTGTCACATTCAGTACATTCATACTGTTTGAGTCCCGTGTGTATTTTCTGATGTTCAGTAAGCCAGGATTTTCTGAGAAAGGCTCTCCCACACAGACTGCACCCATAAAATTCCTGTCTAGTATGAACTCTCTGATGATCAGTGAGCTGAGACATCTTCATAAAGGCTTTCCCACTTCCAACGCACCCATGGGCTTTCTCTACATTGTGAGTGTTCTGTTGCTGAATGACCCAGGATTGATTATTAATGAGTTTGGTACTGACTGGCAAAATGATTTCAGTGTAAAATTGTTCATGGTCAGCATGACGAATACATAGTCCATCTCCCTTCAACTCCACAGAATTCTTTAAGTTAGAGCTTCTATTTTGGCTTTCAAAATTTTCATTTGATTTTAAAGGTTTTTCACTTATCTCAAACATATCATTGCAATTTTGCTTGAATAGAGAATGATCTTCACTCTGATTAACGACATCTGCTAACATACTGTGTTCACAGCCTCGGTCCACCCTCTTCTGAAGGTTTCGGATTTGCAAGTGATGCTGCAGAAGATCATCCACCTTCCTGAGTTCTAGGACAGAAGAGAACAGGGAATCATTCTGGAATCCCTCACCATCCTTGTTTGAAATAAAACTGTTTTGTAAAAAGCCGTCATGTGAAGTGACTATTTAGTGACAATCCTATATGATATAAAATAAAAAGGATATTTGATCTTTATGCATAGTTCCTCACACTGAGGTTGTGAAACCACTACAAATTCCTAAGTGACAGAAGTATCTTTTGTTCTACAATAAAAACAGCTGAGTTTCTGCTAATGAGATGAGAGCACAGAGCTCCTACATACTCTCAGAATAGAGTTAGTCACTAGAAAGACCAAGTGATTTAATGGTTGGACTTCCAGCCCTACTAACTGACCTCTTAGAAAGGAGAAAAGGCCTAGAGATTAAGGCTCTATGAAAATTCTTAACTAGATCAGTTTCTGGGTTAGTGAATATATTCTTGTGCCCACTGGGTGGTTGGTTCACCTTAGCTAAATAAAGTCAGAACCTCCTGTATTCAGAAATATTTCAAACCTTGTCCCATGTACCTATTCATCCATATCTTTTATTAAAAAATCCACTAAACATAAGTATTTCTCAGAGTTCTGTGAGCTTCTCTAGCAAATTAATTTAATCCAAGGATGGGATTCATGACACCTCCAATTTATAGCCAGTTGGTCAGAAGCACAGGTGACAAAATGGACTTGCCACTGACATCTGAAGTGGGACTTGTCTTATGGCACGGAAGTCATAACTTGTAGTGTCTGATCCCTTTTCTAGGTAGATAGTGTCAGAACTGAGTTAAATTTGTAGGAAACCCAGGTTTAATAATTATAGGTATAGACACATGAAGCAAAGTAATGAAGGCAATCATAGTCTGTGTGACATGGTGAAAGGAACAATGGAGATGGGGAGGTGGGTGAAATCAGGATTTACAGGGTGGGGCAAAAGTAGGTTTACAGTTGTTCCTACGTGAAATGAAACAGTATTCTACAATAATAATATAAGAATAAACTCTGTGTTTCGCTTAGTCACCACTGTACACCTACTTTTGCCTACCGTGTATTTAAAGAGAAGACAACGCCTTAGCTGGACTGGCTCAGTGGACAGACCATCGGCCTGCAGACTGAAGGGTCCTGGGTTTCATTCCGGTCAAGGGTTCATGGCCAGGCTGCGGGCTCGATCCCCAGTAGGGGGCGTGCAGCAGGCAACTGATCCATGATTCTCTCTCATCACTGATGTTTCTCTCTCTCTCTCTCCCTTTCCCTTCTTCTCTAAAATCAATAAAAATATATATTTTTAAAATAAAAATAAATATAAATAAAAATAAAAGACAAGGTCCACTGATTGGCTCAATGGGAGAAGGAAGAAAAGGTAAAGAAAGTGAGGACTCAAACATTACTCCAGGAATAATGTGGCTTGATTGACTAGGTAGGTGCAAACCAGCCAGGGCAACTTTAGATACTTTTAAAAGGCTCCCCAAATTAGGTCAGACAATTTAGTCCTTTTCATGTGACTCCTGCATTCTTACGCACCTTTTACCTTTGATCATTTTGATCTCTATTGCTTTACCATCAAAAATTGTAACCGTAAGTATAACAGGACACTCTTCCCCCTGATAATGCCGACCTTCCACACCACAGGCAAAGCGATCCATTTTAAGAATTAGTTAAATAATGCCACTCCTCTACCAAAAGTCTCCACTGGTTTCTCAACTCATTTGGAATGAAAGCAAGGTCTTAAATGACCAATATCTCAAAACTTCCAGCTGCCACCCCATTGTCTTTATTTCCAGTCATTTTCCCTCTTGCTCATTATAGTCTATGAAGACAAATTTCCAAGAAGTTCCACAAACACATTCCAGAATCAATTCTTTAAACTTCCCTTTGTCTCACATTTGGAAAACTCCATATTCCTGGCTCATATCCCTCATCTACGTGCTTAAAGGCACCTTACCAAAGAGCCATTCCCACTGCTAAAGCTCAGATCTGGATAAACACCCATTATATCACCGAGGGTATTAATTTCCCTTAGAGTAATTTTTACCTAACATATATGTTAATTACTGAATATATAATACTTCTACTGAGAATAAAAGCAACATGGAGAGTAAGGACAAGGTCTGTTTATTTCTATCTTTTCTTGTAGTACTCTTAGGTTCAAAAATATAATGCTATCAGAATGCAAGCATTAGCACTAGCTGGTCTGGCTCAGTGGATAGAGCATTGGCTTGCGAACTGAGGGGTCCTGGGTTCGATTCCAGTCAAGGGCACATGCCTGGGTTGCCAGCTCAATCCCCAGTAGAGAACATGGCAGGAGGCAGCTGATCAATGATTCTCTCTCAATGATGTTTCTAACTCTCTCTCCCTCTTCCTTCTTCTCTGAAGTCAGTAAAAATATATATTTAAAAGAATAAAAAAAAATGCAAGCTTTAAAGAAAAGGAGCAATCACATCAATTGCAGGGAACAATCACAGGTATGGGACACATTAAAGAGTGTGTAGAAAAAGAATAGAAACTTTCTAATCAAGATTATAGCCTACAGTAGATGAATGGATTAGAAAACTGTGGTACATCTACATGATGGAATACTATGCTGCTGTAAAAAAGAAGGAACTCTTACCATTTGCAACAGCATGGATGGACCTGGAGAGCATTATGCTAAGTGAAATAATCCAGTCAATGAAGGAAAAATACCACATGATCTCACTCATTTATGGATAATAAAGACCATTATAAACTTATGAACAAAAATAGATACAGAGGCAGAGCTGCCTCAAACAGACTGTCAAACTACAGTGGGAAGGCCGGGAGGGTTGGTGGGCAGGAGGGGGGAGGTAAGAGATGAACTGAAGGACTTGTATGCATGCATATAAGTATAATCAATGGACATAAGACACTGGGGGGTAGGGGAGGCCAGGGGATTGTCAAGGACGGGGAAAAAAAGGAGACATATGTAATACTCTTTGTAATACTTTAGCAATAAATAATACACACAAAAAGGAAGTGACTGCACACAAAAAAATAAAAATTGAAGAATAAACAAACAAACAAAAAAAGATTATAGTCTATTGCCCAGCTGGCTTGGCTCAGTGGTTGAGTGTTGACCTATGAACCAAGATGTCATAGTTTGATTCCTGGTTAGGGTACATGCCAGGGTGGTGAGCTTGATCCCTAGTAGTGGGTGTGCAGAAGGCAGCCATTAATGATTTTCTATTATTGATGTTTCTACATCTCTCTCACTAGCCCTTCCCTTCCTCTCTGAAATCAGTAAAAACATATATATATATATATATATATATTTTTTTAATATATTTTTATTGATTTTTTTACAGAGAGGAAGGGAGAGGGATAGAGAGTTAGAAACATCGATGAGAGAGAAACATCCATCAGCCGCCTCCTGCACACCCCTTACTGGGGACATGCCCACAACCAAGGAACATGCCCTTGACTGGAACTGAACCTGGGACTCCTCAGTTTGCAGGCCGATGCTCTATCCACTGAGCCAAACTGGCTACGGCTATATTTTTTAAAATGATGATAGAGTATACGAAGATCACTAAAAGAGGAACTGCAATTTCATGATAGGAATGCCGTTTATCTAAAACTAAGAGTCATCAGAATATGATGGGAGAGCAATCAATTTCATTTTTACATTCTGGAAATGAATATCTGGAAAATGTAGTCAAGAAAACAATTCCAGCCAAAACCAGTTTGGCTCAGTGGATAGAGCATCCGCCTGCGGACTGAAAGGTCCCAGGTTCAATTCGAGTCAAGGGCATATACCTGGGTTGCGGGCACATCCCCAGTGGGAGATGTGCAGGAGGCAGCTGATCAATGTTTCTCTCTCATCGATGTTTCTAACTCTCTATCTCTCTCCCTTCCTCTCTGTAAAAAATCAATAAAATATATATTACAAAAATGAAAACAATTTCAGCCCTAGCCAGTCTGGCTCAGTGGAAAGAGCCTTGGCCTAAGGACTGAAGGGTCCCAGGTTTGATTCTAGTCAAGGGCATATGCCCAGGTTGTGCGCTCAATCCCCAGTGGGGGGCGTGCAGGAGGTAGCTGGTTAATGATTCTCTCTCATCTCTCTCTCCCTCTCCCTTCCTCGCTGAAATCAATAAATAATAATATTAATTATATAGCCGACCAGTTTGGCTCAGTGGCTAGAGCATCGGCCTGTGGACTGAAGAGCCCCAGGTTCGATTCCGATCAAGGGAATGTACCTTGGTTGTGAGCACATCCCCAGTAGGGGGCGTGCAGGAGGCAGCTGATCGATGTTTCTCTCTCATTGATGTTTCTGACTCTCTATCCCTCTCCCTTCCTCTCTGTAAAAAATCAATAAAATATATTTTAAAAAATTATATATACATACATATAAATAAATAAAACAATTCCATTTACTACATAATAACAAAGAATATTATACATAGGAACAAATTTAAGAAAGGCAAGTGTCAAACTTTTATTCTGAGACTTACGAAATGTTGCGGGAAGAAATTAAAGACCAAATTAGATTAAGAAAAACCAACCAGTTACCCTGATTAGGATACAGAATATGTTTAAGATAAAATTACTACCCAACTCAGATACAGACTTAATGTAATCCCTATCAAAATACTAGGTGGTTTTTGTTTTGCAGAAGTTTATAAGCTGATTCAGATATTCCAATGGAAATTAAAGGATCCAGATGTTAAAAGTGTCTTGAAAGAGAACAGAGTTGGAGAAATCACTCTTTGCAATTTCCGTAATTACTACAAAGCTGTAGGAATCAAGGTCAAGATTAGAATATATAAAGTGTTCCAAAACTGATTGTGGTGATAACCATCTCCAACTATGTGAATAGATTAAAAACTAGTTAACAAAAAAAAAAACTAGTTAACTATATAGATATAAGACATCTCTCTCTCTCTCTATATATATATATATTATATATATATATATTATATATAATATATATATATGCTCATGCAGTTTTTTTTCTAATTCTCATCATCTGAGGATATGTTTTCATTGATTTAAGAGAAAGAGAGAAAAAATAAATGTGAGAAACATTGATTGGTTATTTCCCATATGTGCCCCAACCAGGGATTTATCCCTCTACCTTTTTCGATGTATAGGGTGATGCTCCAACTAACTGAGCAACGCAGCCAGGGCTGACTATATATTTTATTTTTTTTAAGTATTTAAATACATTTTTTATTGATTTCAGAGAGGAAGGAAGAAAGAGAGAGAGAGAAACAGAAACATCAATGATGAGAGAGACTCATTGACTGCCTCCTGCACACCCCACACTGGGGATCAAAACTGGGCATATGCCCTGACCAGGAATCGAACCATAATCTCCTGGTTCATAGGTTCACACTCAACCACTGAGCCATGGGGGCTGGGCTGCCTGTATATTTTAAATGGGTTTATTACATGGTATGTGAATTAAATCTAAGTAAAACCATTTAAAATATGATGAACAAACAAAAGTTTTAGGAAAATAAAAATGCAGTGATAACATCGAAGAATAAAGAAAAATCTGAGTTAGGAAAATTAAAGGGGAAGTCACTTGAAGCAGACATAAGCTATGACCTAGTTTGGGCTGTAACTCACATAGGATGTTCAGATACTTTTTGGTTCATCAAATGAAGGAGTAGAGCCCATTAAGAAGGGAGGTCAGAAAGTAGGGAACATCCCAGGTGATGCCAGGATGGATAGAATTTAAAATATCTAGAGCTCAAAGAGAAATTAAAGGTAAAAAGGAATAAAGGGACCTTTGCCGGTTTGGCTCAGTGGTTAGAGCGTCGGCCTAGGGACTGGAGGATCCCAGGTTCAGTTCTAGTCACAGGCACTTGCCTCAGTTGCAGGCTCGAGATCCCCAGCCCTAGTTGGGATTCGTGTGGGAGGCAATCAATCAACGTGTCTCTCTGACATCGATGTTTCCTTCTGTTTCTCCCCCTCTCTTCCTCTATCTCTGAAAACCAATGGAAAAATATCCTCAGGTGAGGATTAACAACAACAATTAAAAAAAAGCGGAATAAAGGGAAGATGATTTCTGCTCTCTCACAAAATGGGAAATCAGAGATCGGCCTCCATGATGATGAGTAAAATACACAAAAAGAAAGTGTACATTAGACAATACTGAGGGAGAAGTCCATTTGGGAGTCCATGTCACAGAACAGAAAGAGGTTCACTCATGCAAATAGAGGAAATCTTAAGAGTGAGGAGAACTGAAAATTAGGAACCTTGGAGGCAGAGGAGTGAAGAAAGACATTAATGGGCCGTGAAAAGCAGGTTATCACGGGGACACAGCATCCAAGGTGGACTGGATGTTACGGAGGGAAATCACTATTTCCATCCAGGGTACAAAGGCCCAGTAGCAAGAAAAAAACGATGAATTCCAAGTTCCGTCTTTCCGGAGAGGCCGGGAAAGTAGGATTTCATAGCAAGAGAGGTGCTAACACAGGCAGAGACACCATGACCATGAACAAAAAGGAGGGAGATCTGAGAATCCCGGGAGGAAGAAAACTACGCAAACAAAAACAAGAGGAATATAAAATAAGCTTTTTATCAGACAATAAAAAAAGGGTAGCCGAAGCCGGTGTGGCTCAGGGGATGGAGCGTCGGCCTGCGGACTGAAGGGTTCCAGGTTCGATTCCGGTCAGGGGCATGTGCCTCGGTTGCGGGCACATCCCCAGTGGGGGGTGTGCAGAGGGCAGCTGATCGATGTTTCTCTCTCATCGATGTTTCTGACTCTCTGTCTCTCTCCCTTCCTCTCTGTAAAAAATCAATGGAATATATTTAAAAATAAAAATAAAAAATAAAATTAAATTAAAAAAGGGTATGTTTTCCCCTAAACTTCTACAAAGAAAAAGGGTTCTCATACGTGGAAGGGAGGTTTGAGTTTCCTCATTCACCGTCACAGCTCTGACGCGGCCTCTGACTGGAATGTGACTTCCCGGCCGCCCGCCTTGCTGGTTCTCACCCCCTCACCTGGAGAGACTGGACAGTGGCGTCCATGCTGTACTGTCCACGCTTCTTCCCCTCGTTCCAGCTTGGAGAGCGCGTCTGGTTTGCTGGCTCGATACCCTGCTCGTGAACAAGGACAGAGACTTAGACATGTTATCTTGGGGTGGCGGCTGTCAAGAAGGGAGAATGGCCCTGACCGGTTTGGCTCAGTGGATAGAGCGTCGGCCTGGGGACTGAGGGGTCCCAGGTTCGATTCTGGCCAAGGGCATGTACCTTGGTTGCGGGCACATCCCCAGTAGGGAGTGTGCAGGAGGCAGCTGATCGATGTTTCTCTCTCATCCATGTTTCTAACCCTCTATCCCTCTCCCTTCCTCTCTGTAAAAAAATCAATAAAATGTTTTAAAAAAAAAGAAGGGATGCCCTGACCGGTTTGGCTCAGTGGATAGAGCGTCGGCCTGCGCACTCAAGGGTCCCAGGTTCGATTCCGGCCAAGGGCATGTACCTTGGTTGCGGGCACATACCCAGTAGGGAGTGTGCAGGAGGCAGCTGATCGATGTTTCTCTCTCATCCATGTTTCTAACCCTCTATCCCTCTCCCTTTCTCTCTGTAAAAAATCAATAAAATGCTTTAAAAAAAAAGGGGGGGGAGAATGAGCCCTGGCTGGTGTGGCTCAGTGGATAGAAGGGTCCCAGGTTCAATTCCAGTCATGGGCATGTACCTGGATTGTAAGCTATATACATGGTCTGGTCAGGGCACATGCAGGAGGCAACCAATCGATGTTTCTTTCACATCGATGTTTTTCTCTCTCTCTCTGTCTTCTCCCCTCCACGGGTGAGGATTAACAAAAAAGAATAAATAAGAGAGAATGGTACGTTGCAGGGAATGAACAGGCTTCCCATCAGTAACACAGACTTTTCTCTCAGGAGAAAGGACATAATACCCTCCTGTCTGCAGCAAGAGAAAGATCTGCAATCCCACCACACCATGCCAGAGAGCTGGAGTCATTCTGAACAGTTAAGCAGCTGAGAAAGGAAAAACAGGGCACCCACTGAGTGACACACGGGAGCTGTCCTCACCCACTGACACCAGGTGGCTGTAGGTCTCCATCATCACGTCCCTGTACAGGTCCTTCTGCTCGGGGTCCAGGAGCTGCCACTCCTCCCAGGTGAAGTCCACGGCCACATCGTGAAATGTCAGGGGTACCTGTAACAACACGGTGCTGTTTAATGGGGTGATGCCCTTTAAAATCCAAAGCAGGGGTGGGGCCTGGCCGGCCCTCCAGCCATATAAGACCTGAAAAATCAATTAGTCTGGCCTTGCAAGGCATTTGGGGCAAGTTAAGTAAATGTGTGACCAAATATAACAGGCTAATTTTTAAATTGACAATTTTGTACGGCCCCGAATGATGTTATAAATATCCAAAAGGCCCTCAGCAAAAAAAAAAAAGTTCCCCACCCCCGACTTAGATGCTATGGACGAAATGATAGCTTTCTTGCTCATTTTTACTCTATAAGCTGCATCTATTCAGCAAGTGGGGTTTTATTTTATGTACAGTTGGATAATCACATTCCTAGTAAAATATAGGGTGGGGAAAAGTTAGGTTTACAGTTGTTCACATGAAAAATAATACAATAATTAACAAATAACAACACAGGAATAAACTCTGTGTTTTCTGCACTCACAACTGTAAACCTAACTTTGCCCCTTCCTGTATTTTGTAATTGTGCATTCAGACATTCATGCATTCAACCAGTTATAAGTTTCTATAATGTGACATAAAATATTCTTGTGAACCTAGAAACACCACAATCACATATTTTTAAAAATATATTTTTTATTGATTTTTAGACCAAGAGAAAGGGAGAGGGAGAGAGAGAGAGCAACATTGATGTGAGAGCTATACCTAGATCCACTGCCTCCTGCACCCCCCCCTTCTGAGGATCCAGACTGAAACCTGGGCACGTGCCCCGACTGTGAATCGAACTGGCAACCTTTCTGTGCATGGGACGCCGCCCAACCAACTGAACCACACCGGCCAGGGCCATATTCACATATTTGAGAGACAAAAGATATAGACATATATGTATACTTGTCAGATTAACGGAGGTGGTTTTTATAGGTTTCTACAAATTCTTTAATGAAGAATGGAAAGGATTAAACAAACCCAATCACCTGAGCCTGGAGCATTTCCTTCTGTTCTCTGAAAAGAGCTGCAAGGGCGAGGCCCTGCCTTGGTGTGTTCGGGGTCTGCTCTGTATTTCTGTAGAGAAATCCGTCTGCAGTCAGGGGTGTCATGGAAATGCTGATACCCACCCCGCAGCCTCCTCCTGCTTCACGTGGTTCTATTGCTCCTGGGGAGTCAGGCCTGTGGACGGAGGAGAGAATCCCACGGGTGGTACATTTCCTCTGGGCCCCGATGCTACGCTGCTCGGAGCACTCACCTCACACAAGGCCACAGGATCACTGGTGTCCCTTTATTTATTTATTTATTTATTTGTCCTCACCTGTGGATATTTTTCCATTGATTTTTAGGGAGAGTGGAAGAGAGAGGGAAGGACAGAGAGAAACATCCATGTGAGAGAAACACATCAATTCCTTGCCTCCTGCACGTGCCCTGACCAGGGCCCGGGCCAGGGAGGAACCTGCAACCGAGGTACATGTCCTTGGCCAGAATCGATCCTGGAGGGTAAGTGGGGTGCATGTCACAGGAGAGCTGGGAAGTGACATCCATGCCTGCACCAGCCTCAGGAGCAGGTGAGCATCAGGAAAATCACCGACAGAGAGCAGAGCATGTGGACGGAGACGGTCTGGGCACTGTTTCCCTTGAAAGCACGAAATATTGAGAAAAAACTTTAATAGTCTTAGTTAAATAAACGGAAAGATGGACTGTGAAGATGACTCAGAAAATCAAACAGTTTAAAGATGTCATGTCCCCCAAATGTATATAAAGACCCGATGAAATCCCAATCAAAATCCCTAACTGACAGCTATATACATCTTTAAAAACAGGTGAGCCCTAGCCGTAGCTGCTTTGGCTCAGTGCATAGAGCATTGGCCTGCGGACTGAAGGGTCCCAGGTTCAATTCCGGTCAAGGGCACATACCCAGGTTGCAGGCTCCATCCCCAGTAGGGGACGTGGAGGAGGCAGGCGATCAATGATTCTCTCTCATCATTGATATTTCTCTCTCTAACTCTCCCTTCCTCTCTGAATTCAATAAAAATATATTTTTTTTAAAACAGTTGAGCCGTAGCCAGTTTGGCTCAGTGGATGGAGCGTCGGCCTGCAGACTGAAGGGTCCCAGGTTCGATTCTGGTCAAGGGCATGGTTGCGGGCACATCCCCAGTAGGAGGTATGCAGGAGGCAGCTGATCGATGTTTCTCTCTCATCGATGTTTTTGACTATCTCTCTCCCTTCCTCTCTGTAAAAAAATCAATAAAATATATTTTTTAAAAAAAAGAAAAACAGTTGAAAGAGTTGCTCTATCAGTTATGAGGGATTCAAGTTACTTTAATTACGACACTACCATATTAGCACAATAGACAAGTCAGCCAAAGAACAAAATGAAATGCCTATGAACAGACAGACTCACATACAGATAGATAGAGACATGATGACACAGGAGAGGAGGGTAGGGATGTCTTTTAAAAATACAGCTCAGGGACAATCAGATATCCACACTGGAAGTGGGGAGAGATTGAACCCCACTTTGGAAAACACACAAAAATAACTTTGTAGGCCCTGACTGGTTTGACTCAGTGGATAGAGCGTCGGCCAGCCGACTGAAGGGTCCCAGGTTCGATTCCGGTCAAAGGCATGTACCTTGTTTGCAGGCATGTCCCCAGTAGGGGGTGTGCTGATCGATGTTTCTCTCATTGATGTTTCTAACTCTCTATCCCTCTCCCTTCCGCTCTGTAAAAAATCAATAAAAATTTTTGGCACATCATAGGCCTTTACCAGTAAGATACAGGGAAATTTCTCAATGTGTTAAGCTATGGAAAGATTTCAAACAGGCCAGGTAAAGCGCGCTATAGAGCTAATTACAGTCACAGGAATGTAAAAGGTATGACTTTGGAAAACATTTTAGCATCATCTATTTAGACTGAAGTTACACACACCTTAGGACACAGCATTTTCTTTCTTTCTTTTTTTTTTTTTAAATATATTTTATTGATTTTTCACAGAGAGGAAGGGAGAGGGCCAGAGAGTCAGAAACATCAATGAGAGAGAAACATATCGATCAGCTGCCTCCTGCACACCTCCTACTGGGGATGTGCCCACAGCCAAGGTACATGCCCCTGACCGGAATCGAACCTGGGACCTTTCAGTCCGCAGGCCGACGCTCTATCCACTTTGCCAAACCAGGTAGGGCAGGACACAGCATTTTCACTCTGAGGTAAACATTTAAGATATTTCTTTCCTCCCACTCCACCCCTCAGAACAAAGTAAGGGCACCTCTGAACCGGAAGCCATGTACAAGGACTTTCAAGGCAGCAGTATTCCTAACAATGCAGACTGCAAATAACAGGACTCGAATGAACAGTAAGAAACGCTGCCATCCACTCAGACGAAGGCAGGCCATGGGGGTAAGACAACCTTGGCCCAGCTTTGTAAGCTAAGAATGCTTTCAATGTTTTTAGGTTTTATTTTATACATGTTTTTGATATTTTAAGGAGAGTTTATTTAGGAAGTCACACAGATAAAAAAAAAAAAAAATTGAGCCAGCTGAGCTGCGTGGGCTCAGAAACAAGTCACAGAGGCCAAAGAAGGGGCCATTGGGCTTAGGAGAGAGAGAAAGGCACAGGGCGCTCCCCTGGAGGGAAGGAGGTAGGGGCAGGGGGAGGCCCAGGGGTGCTCCCCAGAGAGAAAGCACCTAATGGTGTTTTTAAATGATAAAAACAAAAACCACACCTTTTTGTGAAAGTATACATGAGAGACATTCTGTGGCTTGTAACTCCTAAAATAAACATTGTAGAATAGGATATTCTGCCCCTCGTTACAGAGGAAAAAAATATACACCTATGTACTGAGCAAAAGAAGCCTGACATTGAAAAATGCATAATGGCCTGGCCTGGGTGGGTCAGTGGTTGAGCATTGACCTATGAACCAGAAGGTCATGGTTAGATTCCCAGTCAGGGCATGTGCCTGGGTTGCAGGCTGGATCCCAAGTGTGGGGCATGCGGGAGGCAGCTAATCAATGATTCTCTTTCATTATTAATGTTTGAATGTCTCTCTCCATCTCCCTTCCCCTCTGAAATCAATAAAAAGTATATTTTTAAAAAATGCATAATGTAAGATTGATTAATACAGTTAAAAATGGGTAAACTAAATAAACTATAAAGATCAGGAATGATTAATTACGTGATGAAATTATAAAGAAAAGCTTAAAGTGCTTGGTATGGAGAGCAGATGGTAATTACCTGTGGGTGAGAAGATGTAATATAATTGGGGGGAGAGGGGGGTCTCACAGAACACGGCTAGGGTGTTAGCGTGTTGTTTCTTACATATGCAAACAGTACACATATACATACATGTAAATATTGCTTTTACACTTTTTAAGTTGCAGATTTTTTAAGTTAGCAGTTCAGTGGAAGAGCTCAACAATACCAAAATCTGGTCCTTAAGAGAACAATCAATCTAGACTACAAATGACACAGTTTAATGAACAGTAAGAAAAATTGCCATAAGGCAGTTTGTAGTGAGAAGGGTGGAAAGAGAACTGGCACTAACAAAGAATATAAATAATTAATGGGAGACATAAAACACATTAAAGAAGTTTCCTGAGTCTTAAAGAAGAATATAAACATATATACTGATGTCATTAAATTTGAAATCCTGGATGAGTCATGATTTCATGATCTTACCCTCCTAGAAAGTGTTAACTCCAGACACAGTGGCAGGTGAATTTTCTGGATAGACAACAGGGCACCGTTGTTCACTACAACCCCAATTTCCTGTTTTGTATTGGAGAAATGAGCAATGCATTGAGATAAAAATAAATTATAAACATTAAGAAGGAGGACAGGAAATTGATCTTCAGATAATATTTCATCAACATGGAAAAAGATATTCAAGGAATTTCTTATTTAAAAGAGAAAATGGCCTTAGCTGGTTTGACTCAGTGGCTAGAGCGTCAGCCTGCAGACTGAAGAGTCCTGGGTTCGATTCCGGTCAAGGGCACATGCTCTGGTTGCCAGCTCGATTGCCAGTGGGGGAGTGCAGGAGGCAGCTGATCAATGATTCTCTCATCATTGATGTTTCTATCTCTCTTCCTCTCTGAAATAAAAAAATATATATTTAAAATAATAAATAAGTAAATCTATACTAATAAAAGAGTAAATGGTAATTAGACCGGGAGACCTTCCAGACGTCCTTCCAGACAAAGCCATGATGGCAGGGCCAAGGCAGAGGCGGATAGGGGAAATCAGGCCGGCAGGGGAGGGCAGTTGGGGGCAATCAGGCCGGCAGGAGGGGTATTTGGGGCAAGCAGGCTGACGGGGGGGGGGGGGGGGGGGGGGGGGGGGGGGGGGGGGAGGCTGTTGTGGGGGGAGTTGGGGGTGAGCAGGCGCAGGGGCGTGGGAGGGAATTGGGGGCAATCAGTCCAGCAGGGGCGGGCAATTAGGGGTAATCAGGCCGGAAGGTGGGTGGCAGTTGGGGTTCATCAGGTCGGTAAGCAGAGTGGTTAGGGGCGATCAGGTAGGCAGGCAAGTGAGTGGGTAGGAACCAGCGTTCCGGACTGCAAGAGGGATGTCCTACTGCTGGCAGTCAGACATCCCCCCAGGGGTCCCAGTTTGGAGAGGGTGCAGGCCGGGCTGAGGGACCCCCCCCCCCCCCCCCCCCCCCCCCCCCCCCCCCCCCCCCCCGCCCCATGAATTTCGTGCACAGAGCCACTAGTAAATAAATAAAAGAGAAAATGTCCCCCAGAGACCACCAGGCACATTTTCACTTACATAGTTGACTAGAACGACATGCACCACATACCCCAGTTCATTTCACAGTAACTCAGTCACTAGCGACGGGAACTGGAGCCACCGCGGTTGGCTGAGACCCACCAGGACTCACTAATACACTGGGGTGCGGGCCACCTTGCCAGCCGGATGGGCGTTACATACAATGGAAATCCTGTTAGCAAAGCAGGAAGTGTGAGTGTGCGCCAGGCAAGTAGGCAACGGGTGGAAGCAAGTGCAGGTGAGCAGCGTGCGCAGGGACGGACAGGTATTCCCGGCTTTTGAGGGTCACGGGTCTGGGGGCGCCCAGGACTCGGTTCTGCGCTTGTAGCTCCAAAGCGGCCACAAAGGACGAGTGTCCCATGGGCGAGGCTGGATTAGC